TGCAGCTATTAGGAAAAAGATGGACACAGGTACAGGATCTCCTGTGTTATGCTCCAGTTCCAGAGGATGTGAAACCTTCTTATGACCTCAACAGACACCAGGGACTCACAAGGTGTACACACACACACACACACACACACACACACACACACACACACACAGAGAGAGAGAGAGAGAGAGAGACAGAGACAGAGACAGAGACAGAGACAGAGACAGAGAGACAGACAGAGACAGACAGAGAGACAGAGACAGAGACAGACACAGAGAGACAGACACAGAGAGACAGAGACAGAGACAGAGCCAAAACACTTATACACATAATATAAATCAGGAAAATATTCAAAGCGACTTAATTTCATTGCCTAATGCTCAATGAGAGTATGGTTTGTTAGTGGATCAAAGAGAAGTTTATTTAACAGGTCAGAAATACACTAGGGTAGATGAAAAAGTAAATCGAATAATAACAGAATTCAATAGAAGTTTTGGATTCATTTAACAATTTTTGTATTTTAGGATGAACTGTTGCTGGAGAGCTTCTCTCCAGGTTCCCCAAGCCCCGCAGTCCCACAATCCACTTATAAAATAATCACTCAGACGCTTGTATCACTTATAAACTGTATGGCCATGGCAGGCTTCTTGTTAACTATTCTTATATCTTAAATTAACCCATTTTTATAAATCTATAGCTTGCCACGTGGCTGGTGGCTTACCGGCTTCTTTACATGCCCTTCTCCTGGCGGTCGCTGCAGTGTCCCTCTCTCCTTCTTCCTGTTTCCCCAATTCTCCTCTCTCTTTGTCCCGCCTATACTTCCTGTCTGGTCACTGGCCATCAGTGTTTTATTTACATAGAGTAATATCCACAGCAATGAACTGATTCGTAGATAGAGCAAACATTTTATCTTAATTTCATTTTGCCATACTCACACAATGATTTTGCTTCACATCGTTGGCCTGTGAGTTTGTGCATGTTCAAAAGAACACTCTGACATCTGTGTGGGTGTAAGCTAGCTCTGAGTACTCTTCCTTCAAAGGGTAGCAATAAGAGTGAAAATATGGATGATTATTATATTTTAAATATTGAAACTATCTGGTTTTCATCTTTGTTCTTAAAATAAATTTACTTAATTTACATCCCAACTGCAGTTTCCCCACCTTCCTTTTCTCCAAGTCCCCCACCCACTTTCTTCTCTGTTCCCACCCCAGTCCACTCCTCCTCCATTTCTGTTTAAGAAAAGGCAGGTCTTCCATGAATATCAACAAAACACGACATATCAAATTGTGGTAAGACATCGCCATGTATTAAGTTTGGGCAAGGCAACCCAGGATGAGGAGTAGGGTCACAAAAGCCAGTAAAAGAGTCAGAGACAGCCCTTGTTCCCACTGTTAGGAGTTCCACAAGAAGACTAAGGTAAACAACTGTAACATATATACAAAATGCCTAGGTCAGTCCCATGCAGGATCCTTAGCTTTTGGTTCAGTCTCTGTGAGCCCCTATGAGCCCAGGTTAGTTGATTCTGTGAATTTTCTTGTGATGTCCTCAACCCCTCTGGCTACTACCATCCTTTCTCCCTCTCTTCTGCAGGATTCCCCAAACTCAGCCTAATGTTTAGCTGTGGGTCTGCATCTGTTTCCACCAGTTGCTAGATGAAGCCTCTTTGATGACGTTTGGGCTAGGTACCAATCTTGTCACAGGAGATGACCAGTTCAGGTTCCATATCCGATATTGCTGCAATCCCCATTAAAATCCCAACACAATTCTTTACAGACCTTGAAAGAACAATACTCAACTTCATATGGAAAAGCAAAAAAAAAATAATAATAAAAGGATAGATGAAACAATTCTGTACAATGAAAGGACTTCTGGAGGTACCACCATCCCTGATTTCAAGTTCTACTGAAGAGCTATAGTTATAAAAACTGTATGGCACTGGCATAAGAACATACAGGTAGTTCAGGGAATCAAATCAAAGACCCAGATGTAAATCCACATATCTATGGATACCTGATTTTTTTTTACAAAGAAGCCAAAATTATAAAATGAAAAAGAAAAAAGCATCTTCAACAAATGGTGCTGGTCTAACTGGATGTTGGCATGTTGAAGAATGAAAATAGATCCATATATATCATCCTGCACAAAACTCAAGTCCAAGTGGATCAAAGACCTAAAAAAAATCCAGATACAGTGACCCTTATAGAAGAGAAAGTGGGAAATAATCTCAAAAGCATTGGCACAGGAGACAACTTTCTGAACAGAACAGGAGACAACTTCTTGAAGAGAACAGCAATAGCATAGGCACTAAGATCAACAGATAATAAATGGGACCTCATTAAATTGAAGTTTCTGTAAGGTAAAGAACACTGTCAATAGGACAAAACAGCAGCCTACAGAATGGGAGAAGATCTTCACCAACTTCACATCTGACAGAGGGTGATCTCCAAAATATATAAAGAACTCAAGAAACCAAACATCAAAATAACAAATAATCCAATTAAAATTGGGGTACAGATCTAAACAGAGAATTCTCAGCCAAAGAATCTCAAATGGCAGAGAAATGCTTAAAGAAATGTTCATCATCTTTTACCATCTGGGAAACACAAGCCAAAATGACTCTGAGATTCCATCTTACACCTGTCAGAATGGCTAAGATCATAAACACAAGTGAGAGCTCATGCTGGAGAGGATATGGAGCAAGGGGAACATTCCTCCATTGCTAATGGGAGTGCAAACTTGTACAGCCACTTTGGAAGTCACTGTGGCAGTTTTTTAGAAAACTGGGAATTAATATACAAGACCCAGCTATACCACACTTGGGCATATACCCAAAGGCATATACTCAATCATACCATAAGGACACTTGCTCAACTCTGTTCATAGCAACTTTATTTGAAATAGCCAGAACCTGGAAACAACCTATGTGTCTCTCAACTGAGAAATGGATAAATAAAATGTGGTACATTTACACAATGGAATATTATTGAGATGTTAAAAACAAGGACCCCCAAAAATTTGAAACAAATGGATGGAACTATAAAAAAAAATCATCCTAAGTGAAGTAACCCAGACAAAGAAAAACAAATACGGTGTGTACTCACTCAAAAGTGGATATTAGCTGTAAAATAAAGAATAACTATGCTATAATTCGCAGACCTAGAGAGACTAGGTAATAAGGAGGGTTCATGAGGGGACTCACAAATCTCCCTGGGAAGGTGAAATAGATTTCGTAAGTGGATTGTGGACAGGTGGAGCTGAGAACATGAGCCATCTGGTTGGGGTTGGGGGACAGAGGGGAAGAGTGTTGAAAGAGACCACTGGAAAAGGGTAGCATTTTGGAGTCATATAAAAACCTGATGAAGGCCGGGTGGTGGTGGTGCACGCCTTTAATCCCAGCACTCTGGAGGCAGAGGCAGGCGGATCTCTGTGAGTTCGAGGCCAGCCTGGACTACCAAGTGAGTTCCAGGAAACGCGCAAAGCTACACAGAGAAACACTGTCAAAAAAAAACAAAAAACAAAAAACAAAAACAAAACAACAACAACAAAAAAACCTGATGCAAGGCAATCTCCCAGGAATCTACAAGGATGACCCCAGCTAAGACTTCTAGCTGGTTTTCATCTTAAGAAATAAGAACAAAAATGTTTGCTTGAGACTTGTAAAACTATATCATTATTTAATTCAACCAAACATTTAAGGATATATCCCTCTGAGAAGCAGATGCCTCTAGTCCTGCAATCCCAAACAACTGTTGCATTGATCACGTTTTCACTTATCAGAACTGAGGGAAAGTAGAGAGACCACCACTCAGAGAAAAAAGAGATGCAAGAGGAGTTTTGGGTACAACATAAAACATAACACCTCACTGAGTAACTATGCATTCAGGGATGTGAAAATGCTCCAGAACTTTTCCATGTTTATTTCATAAATCTCTGTCTACTACATACAACATTATTGAGAAGCTGCCAATAGTGCAGTCAATTTGCTCACAGGACAATGTGAATTAGAAGGCCTCTATACTGGTATTAGTCCAGAAAAAGTTGTTGACTCAATGTGGATTACATTTTTATTTGGCTTAAGAACTAGTTTCTTCCAGTCACAATCCCATTTATCGAGCTGACATTTAAATTTGTTTTTAAGTACATTTGTTTCTGCTTTTACAACTTTAATAATAAATCAATAATAACACAATCATTTTAGCTTCTTATTTTTTTAAGACTTTTAACTAGAGTCACATTCAAGCTGACTCAAATACATTATGGTTAACCAGAACATGTTTCTTCTCAGGAAATTTACATAGACATTCTGTGAATGAATTTGACCTTCTCATCTAAATTACTCATTTCAAGATAGGTTTCAGAAATTATCATTACTATCAAAATTATTTTGAGGTGTCAAGGTTTTTGTTTGTTTGTTTGTTTTTGTATTACATTCTACCTCTTTGCATGGGGAGCAGATGGGATGACAGTTCAATTCATGGTGATCTACCAGACTCAGTTCCTGGCACCTACAAAGTCCAGAAAAACATAATTCTTACAAGAAAAATGATCTCCCTGGGTTATCAAACAATCTTAATTTTATCAAAAGCAATTTATCATTTTTATATTTGGTACAGGTTTTTACTGGAAGATAAAAATGTTGATTTTTTTCCAAGAGCACTAAATCCTTAATAAAAGTATCAGTTTTAACCCACTCCAAGAAAGAGATTACATCTGATGTCTGCTAGCTTACTAGAAGACCAAGAACAGAACTATTCACTGTCAAATCCTCAAAATGTTATTTGATTTAACTAGTCGGTCTGAGCTATTTCTCAAACTCTACCTTCACACTTGCATTCATTAAATTCAGATGACTGCCAAATTATGCCTTGTTGTAGGTTCGATGTTTTACTGATCTGAGACTAATTTTGTTATCTCTTTATTCTAAGTCACTATGATTCATAATTCATAATAAAAATATTTAAATTAGAATACTTATTCATTCCATACATAAATGTTACTTTCTTAATAATTTTTTTTAACACATGAAGTTGTTTAATTAGGTTGTTAGCAATTTAGAAAACCAGTTTGTAAGGATACATCCCCTTCGTCAGAGAGAACTGAGGTCGCAGGTAGCTCTGGAGCTGAGGAACAGCTTTGATCTTTGGCAAAATCGGCGAATCCACAGCTTTCTGATTAGTCTTTCGCTGCTCTGTAATCTCGTATTTCTCCTTCTCAGTGTCGAAGATCTCCCCCTCCTGGTACCTGGGCTTGCGCAGCTGCTTCTTCTTGAAGTAAGCGTCAGTCGGGTGTTTGGGGATTTTAACCTTGCTGATGTCAACTTTTGTAGAGGTGGCGATGACAAATTTCTGGTGTGTTCTTCGCAGAGGAACTCTGTTGAGGGCAAGAGGTCCAGTCACAAGTAGCAAGCCGCTGGCCAGGTGCTTCAGGAAAACCACTCTCTTCCCCCTGTGGCGCCCTGTGAGGATAATCAGGACGGTCCCAGGAGTGATGCTGGCCCGAAGCCTTCTCCCGTGCTAACTGAAGAGTTTTTTGCCATGGCTCAGCAGCTTCCGAGGCACATCTTCGGTAGGATAATACCTGGGCATTTCTCGAAGCTTCACCACCCGGGTACCGCCGTTCTTGTCACCACCAACCGGTTTTGTGACAGTAGCAAGGACCTTCTCCTTTTTCTTCTTCTTTTCAACCTTGGCTTTGGCAGCTGAGTACTTTCTTTTGTACAAGGCCTTTCTAGAATACATAGCAGATCGGGAATACCTGCTGATCCCTCTAACCAGGACAGGGTTCCGGCTGCAGTGGGGCTTCCCCTTCTTGGTCTTTTTAACCTTAGGGTCACCCTTTTTGGCGGTACCCGCACCAGCACCAGTGGCAGGGGCATCATCGCCAGCCTTCTTGGCCTCAGGTTTCTTCTCTTTTGTGTCAGGCTTTTTGCCTTTTCACCCACCATCTTGCAAGATGGGAAAGAGAACTAAGGTCCCGGCTTCCGGTCTATAAGCAATCTCTTAATAATTTTTGTTTAAACCACAACCAGTTGATTATGAATGTGACCCAACAGAATATCATAAACATAGTTAAAATATAGTGAGATGTGGTATATATGTGCATGTGTGTGTATGTATGTGTGTGTGTGTTGCATTTTAAAAACTCTATTGTATGTCTCTTGAATGTGAACTTTGTAGGTAATATCTATTGGAATGTCAAAAAGTTAGACATGCCTGCTTGCAAATATAAAAATATACTTGGATAACCACATATATTTAAAAACATTTAAATGTTCTTACTTTATCTGTAAGAGTGTTTTGCTTGTATGTTTGTCTAATGCACCATGTAGATGCCTTCTGCCCATGGAGTCTACTTGAAGGCTTTGCATGCTAAGGAACTGGAGTTACAGATGATTGTGAGGCATCATGTGGGTACTGGGGCTTGAACTCTGGTCCTGTAGAAGAACAGCTGGTATCTTAACTGGTTATCATGTAGGCCCTGAGCATATCATTTTTAAGAATCCTAAAATTCATCATAATTTGCAAATGAAACAGAAGACCAAGGAGAAGTTCAGACATTTCTGTTAGGTTTTAGGATGGGGCTTAGAGTATAACCTAATTGTGTCAAGAAGGTTATTTTTTTTATCAATTCAATATTCACTACCCCTAAGTCAGGGCCCTCAAATACATAAAATATTGTCTTTAGGGATTACTTAATAGAGATGAGATATTCCTGTTGTTAATGACAGGTAGTATTAAAGCATCATTATTATGCTATCAACAATGAACAGGATTTATCATAAGATCAAACTTCCTCATAACATTATTGGATGTCAAAATGATAGAGGAAGAAGAGGTACGAGCTACAGTACAGAGGAGGAAAGATTAAATATTGAAATAATTTATTAGGGCTGGCAAGATAGAACAGAAGATTAAAGTACTTGCTTAACAAGCTCGGTGACCTGAGTTCAGTCTTTGGGACTGACTCTCAAAAAGTTAGAAAGTTGACTTCAGAGCACCATACATATGCTGTGACACACAGATGTCTCCATTCACACAAATAATAATGATAATAATAAATAATCAAATTAAATACCATATCAATGAGAAAACAAATTATACTAGTAAATATAGATAGGAACCTGTCTTAGTTATGGTTTTTATTACTGTGAAGAGGCACTATGTCCACAGCAACTCTTATAAAGGCAAAATTTTAATTGGACTAGCTTACAGTTCAGAGGTTTAGTCCACTATCTTCATGGCAGGTAGCACACATGGTGCAGGAAAAAGAGCTGAGAGTTCTCTGTCTTGATCATTAGGCCACGGGAAGTGAACTATGACACTGGGTGTATCTTGAGCATAGGATACCTCAAACCCCAAACCCACATTGACAGACTTCTTCTAACAAGGGCACATCGACTACAAGGCCACATCGACTACAAGGCCACATCTTGTTATGCTACTCTTTTAGGGGGCCATTTTCTTTCAGACCATGACAGAACACAAAGATGGGGTGAGCAACATATTAATAATTATTGATTTAGAAAAGGATATAAAGTTATGGAGTAAGAGGATAGATGGAGTTCACAGGCTCAGTGTTCTACCAGTGAAGTTTTTGCCCAAGAAGCATTTAAAAAGCCAGTATATCCTTACTGGTCCCTAACTTATACTCCTGGTACAATAGTAAGTGGCTTCTCCTTATTATTATTATTACTTTTTTGGCAATATTTTCATTAGTTTTTTGATAATTTTATTCAATGTGTTTTGGATCTACCCACTATCCCCCAACTTCTCCTGTTACCATCCTTCCATCCCTTCATACACAACCATGTAATTACTTTTTCTTTCTTTCTTCTTCTTTCTTCTTTTTCCCACATCGAATACAATTTGTGTTGACGAGCTAGTCTTGGGAGTGAGGCCTGTCTTGGTGTGTGTTCAGCCTACGAGAGGCCCTATCACTAAGAAAACTGACTGCAATTCCCAGCAACTATGAAATGTCCATTACTTCTGAGCTAGTGGTTGGATTTCATGTCTACCTTCTCTTCATGGCAGGATTTTGTCTGCCATAGCTTGCTCAGGTTTTTTCATTCTGTCCTAACTGCTGTGCATCTTCCCTGTTGTCTCAGTAAACACCTCTTTCTTTCATGACATTGATCACCTCTCACTCTACCAATCATTCTCCTGCCTCTCCTGTGAAGATCCCTGAGTCCTGGGAAGAAGTAGTCTCATATTCTCTGCACACTGACTAGTCAAGAAATATCTGTGTTAATTGCCATGTACTACAATGAAAATCTTCTCTGATGAAGACTGAACAATGAACTGATCTAGAGGTATAGCACTAAGTCATTAGGAGTTACTTTAACACTACGTACATTGAGCGGAATAATAATATTGAGTTCTTCTCTAAGGCCTATAAGGCCACTGGTTCCTGATTCCTTTAAGAGTGCCAATCATGGGTTTCATCTCACAGAGCAGGCCTTAGGTACAATAGAAAGGGTTTGGTTAATCTGATATTCATAAAATTATTGCATCAGAGGGTATACCTTGTAGGCTGGTCATTTTTGTAGCTTCAAAGTTCACTCTTGGATGAGCCCGAGGCTTATTTTTTTGCTCTGGGAGTGAGCATAACACCTTCCAACACTATGGGCACTAGCCAGAAGACATGAAACTTCAAAGTATATACCAGCTTGATTTCTCCATGTTCTGTGACTCAAGAATGTGGTGTGTTCAGCAATAGAGCCTTACCACCAAGTTCTGGAGGGTACCCGAGAATATTGGCAAAGCTTATAATATTTGGAGGGTCTATTTGAGAACAATTCAAAATGTGACAACATATTCTTGATACTTAGATTTTATTTGTTAGTATGAGGAATATAGTCGGACTATTGCCTTCCTGTTTTAGGACAACTCCATTAATCATCTTTTTAAATGTGTGTGTGTGTGTGTGTGTGTGTGTGTGTGTGTGTGTGTGTATTGGAACTTCTATGGTAATAGGTTTCTATATGAGATTATGATATAATTACAACATTGCCTTCTCCTCTTTCCTTCCTCTAAACCCTTCCATATACCCTTCCTTGCTCTCTTTCAAATTCAGAGCCTCTTTATTCACTAATTGTTACTACATGTATTTATAGATATGTATATACACATATATTTATATATTTCTAAATATAACCTCCTCAGTCTGTATAATGTTACATGTATGTATATTTTCAGGCTTGACTATTTGGTATTAGTTAACCAGTTGGTTTGCTCTTCCCTGGGGAAGACTGTTTCCTTCTCTTTCCAGAATTCACTGGTTACCTATAATTCTTTGGTAGGGCTGAGACTCTGGGGCATTTCCTCATCCAGTTTGAGGTGTCTATTGGTGTCTTCCTTGTTCAATTCATGTTTAGGCAGTAATGTTGGTGAGACTTCATAGGTGTAGCTTCTGACATTCCTAGGGGACACAATCTCACAGAAAACTCCCCCTTCCTCTGACTCTTGTGATTTTTCCACCACTTAATCTTCAATGTTCCCTGAGCACTGGATGTGAGAGTGTTTTGAAGATGTATCCACTGGGACTGGGCTTTAAGGCTCAGGAGTTTGGTTGGCTGTGGTTTCTGTAGTGGTCTCTGCTGCAAAACATAAGTTTCCTTGACAAGTATGAAGTGTACATTTATCTGTGGAAATAAGGAAAATGTTTAGGTTGTTGTTAGGGATTATGTTTGTTTAGTAAAATAGAGATTATAGGTTCTCCTCCAAGATCCATTATTTCAATAACATGGAATGGTTGACTAGGTTTCCAGTACCAGGCACAGTTTCCTTCTTGTTGAGTAGGCCTTAAGTCCAATGAAAAAGCTGTTGGTTGTCTCTTCTTTTGGAAGCTTGCATGGAACATTCTGGTACCATGAAAGCTAGTCCTCAGGGAGGAGTTCAGGTCAGTTCAAGCTCAGAGTCCCCTGAACCCTGTTTCTGAAGTGCATGATATCTTCAGCAACAGGGTCCTAACATAACTTCCACCTCTGTGGGAATAACAAAGGGAAACAGCAATAGGCTTTATATGTGGGGATTTTCATGGACAACCCCTGACCAACAAATCAAAAGTGGGCTTCTCATGCCTGGTATTGGGGTCTTTGTTAGGTGGTTTTGGTTCTTGGGGGAAGCATTGTTATTCTATACCAAAAAAGTTCTTTCTCTCTGTCTCTCTGTCTTTCTCGTGTGTGTGTTTGTGTGTGTGTGTGTGTGTGTGTGTGTGTGTGTGTGTGTTTGTGTGTGTGTGTTCTAGTGTTGTTAAAGATAGTTAGTAGTATGATTCCATTTGACCTTTCCAGACATCCTTATTGTTATTTTATCCTACTCCCTCCTTCTGTATTTACCTCACTCCTACTTCCTAAAGAGCTCCTCTTTCCCATCTCCCTGATCAGATCACTTATACCATATTATTCTCCTCTCTCTATTGCTCCCAAGGCCCCTATTCCATTAATGGTCCTATTTTACTTTCCTGGTTTCTGTAATTACTTCAGAATGTCTATACTCACATCTGAAGATTTGAAACTAAGAATTTTGAATGAGAGAGAACATGCCATATTTGTCTTCCTGGGTCCGGGTTACCTCATTCAATATGAACCTTTCTAGTTCTATCCATTTACTTGTAAAGTTCATGATTTATTTTTATTTACAGCTGAATAGTGTTCTGTAGTGTATATTTACCACATTTTCTTTCTGGTAGACTCAGCCAAGGAAGGTCCAGTCCCCTCCTCCCTATACCAAGGCTGAGCAAAGTGTCCCAGCATAGGCCCCAGCCTCCAAAAAGCCAGCTCATGCACCAAGGACAGGTCCTGGCTCCACTGCCTGGGGGCCTCCCAAACAGTTCAAGCTAATCAACTGTCTCACTTATCCAGAGGGCCTGGTCCAGTTCCATGGGGGTTCCTCTACCATTGGTTCACAGTTCATGCGCCTTGAGACACAAACTAGTGGAAATGCATATTTACCACATTTTCATAATCTTATTTATTCATTGGTTTGAGGGTATTTGTGCTGTTGCCATTTCTTAGCTACTGTGAATACAACAGCAATGAAAATAGCTGAATAAGTACCTGTGGAGTGGGATTTTGAGTCCTTTTGGTGTATGCCAAGGATGGTATAGCTTGGATTATATGGTAGATTTATTTTTTAGTTTATTGAGTGCTGTCTACAATGATTGCCTTAATGGCTAAACCAGTTTGCAATCCCACCAAAAGTGAATGCCTTTTCCTTTTCCTCCGTATCTCCTCTAGCACTTTTAGTCAGTTGTTTTGTTCATCTTTGCTGTTCTGGCTGGGTAAGATGAAATTTAAATTTTTTATTTGCATTTTCCTAATTCTAAGGGTGAATAACATTTTAAGATATTTCTTAACCTATATAGATTTTTGAAAAGATGTTTAATCATCTAATTTCCACTCCGCTTAGGGGGCCATACACTCCCTCATACATGTGAAATGATTTTGTTCCAGAATGATTAAAAATACAATAGTCCCTGGATTCATAACTGGATGGTTTAGCAGTAAAGTGGCTTTATTGTTTTGTTACAAGAGTCTTTATCAAGTTGTGCCCTACTCCTGTTCAAAACATCACTTTGTTTCTTTGTGACATACATAGGTTGACCTTATAACATGTGTCATGATTGAGGATTTTTGTGCTTTATTTTTGTCTTGAGTCATGAAACTACTTTGTCCAAGAGCAACAAAACTAACCCACTAAATAATAATGATGATTTTCCCCCCATTGCTGGATGACTTAGGATGATTTGTACTTCAGGGATAGTTTAATGTTGCTACACAATGCTATTACTGGAACTATAGTTACATCCTCATCCCCACCCTGTCTTCAGTGTGTCAGTCTCATTATAAGGCAAGCCATCTAGTGAGCCACCACAACCCATAAATCCTGAATTACTCAGAGCCTTTGCCCAATGAAAATTAACTTCCTACTCACACCATCATCTATTCAAGAAAGGTCTTCAGATTATCCTTTATGGACACAGTTCCTCCCACTTCTCAGTCCTCAGAGTAAACTACCACACAGCTGCATTGCAGTGCAGTGAGGTGGCTACTCACCACCTTTCTTGGATACAACACCACATGTTAGAGTATCCTGCAAAGGGCTGAGTTCATATGGGAGTGCATGATGCTGAGTATACAAGTGTTATGGGTTGAATGTCCTTTCCAAAACTCATGTTGGGATTTAATTTCTCTCTTAATTGCAAGAGTTGAGATTAGGAGCGAATCTCTCCAAGGATCACTTAGGAGCAGATTTAGGCCGTTGTCTCAGGAGTGCATTGATTACTAAAGGGGAAACGTGCCTTGATGTTGCTCTCCTGTCTTCTTTTCCTCACTTCATTCTTCCATGACCTGTCCTCTAGGCTCTTGATCTTTCTTTTTTTTTTTTTTTTACTGTCTCACTAGAGGGCTCTGTCATATCATGATGTTG